ATGAGTGTAACGTCGTTTACTATGCATTAGTCTTATTTTCTACTAGATTGTAAAGTAATAGAGATTAAAACTTTTAGAACATATTGTCACCTCTCTGATTGAGTGACTGAAATTCAATTCCCACTCCTTACTGATTTTTTGTTTGTTTGTTTTGTTTTGTTTTTTTGAGACAGGGTTTCTCCGTGTAGCTTTTAGAGCCTATCCTAGAACTCGCTCTGTAGACCAGGCTGGCCTTGAACTCAGAGATCCACCTGGCTCTACCTCCCTAGTGCTGGGATTAAAGGCGTGCGCCACCACCCAGCTGTGCTGGATAGTTTTATGTCAACATGATACAAGCTAAAGTTATCTGAGAGAAGGGAACCTCAGTTAAGACAATGTCTTCATAAGATCAGTAGGCAAGCCTGTAGGGCATTTTCTTAATTGGTGATTGATGGGGGAAGGCCCAGCCCATTGTGGGCAGTGCCATCCTTGGGCTGGTGGTCCTAGGTTCTCTAAGAAAACAGACTGAGCAAGCCATGGGGAGAAAGCCAGTGAGCAGGACCCCTCCACGGTCTCTGCATCAGCTCCTGCAACCAGATTCCTGCCCTGTGTGAATTCCTATCTTGACTTCCTTCAGTGTTGACCAGTGCTGTGGAAATTTAAGTCAAATAAACCCTTTCGTTTTTGGTCATGGTGTTTCATCACAGCAATAGAACCCTTAACTAAGACAAGTTGGTACCCAGATTGTGGGGTATTGCTGCTGTGACAGATCTGACCGTGTTGTTTTGGGGAGGATTATGGAAGGACTTGGGAACTTTATACAAGAAAATCCATTGAATTTTCAGTGTTTGGTGACTGTAGGAGCTTAGAGCACTGCAGAAGATGGAGGACTGGCATGTGAAATTTGAGAGGGAAGTTTAAAGACTCTATCAAGGCCTTCATTATTTTGAATCAAGATTCTGTGGTTCTGCTTAACTGGGGCTGAAGAATCAGCTGAACTACTAAAGTGAAACGTTTGCTTTGCTGGGATACTTGATGCTGATCAGCTGTAGCTGAGAAATTAGTGGTGATTAAGAAGAAACCAGAATCATTGAGGTGAAATCTTTTTGGAAGTGTTTCAACACAGAGAAGCAGTGTCCCAGCAGTAACCAAGATTGTACCTCGCACTGGCAGCCAAACTTGGTAGTGTAAGAGTCACCCAGGTGGTATTGGTATTAAAGATACAAGGGGTCGTGGAGGTCAGGAGAGGCCATTGGTGGAGGTGCAACCTCAGTGGCAGGTGAAGGCCCAGGACTGAAGGGGTCATGGAGAAGTTGAGACTTGGCACCATGAAGAGAGAGAGCCTAGGAGAGACTGTTGGTCAAAGTGTAGCCCAGTTGCAGCAGAAGACCCCAGCATTTTGGAGATGCCAGTACCATGGCATGACCTCCAAGAACAGCACCAGCAGTGGAGTGGAGCCAGCTAGGGCCTAGAAGACAAACTGTGTGTGCTGCAGGAGGCTGAGCAAAGGAAGTGACCCAAGCCACTGGAGATGCCCAGAAGATCGTGAGTGAATCCCAGGCGCTGGACGTGGAGACATTAACACTGATGGAGTTTGGTTTTGCTTTGATTTGATTGAGACTGTGCCCTCGTTCTTCCCTCTGGAAGTTAAAAAGTATTTTATTTTTGATTTTACAGGAGCCCACAGTTGAAAGACTTTGGATTTTAAACGGGATTGGCTATTTTAAAGAGACTGGATTTTTAATGTTTGAATTTGTAATGACTGTGGAACTTTGAAAGTTATTTATGTTTTTTTGTTTTTTGCTTTTTTGTTTTTTTGAGACAGGGTTTCTCTGTGTAACTTTGAGCCTTTCCTGGATCTCACTCTGTAGACCAGGCTGGCCTCGAACTCACAAAGATCTGCCTGGCTCTGCCTCCCAAGTGCTGGGATTAAAGGCGTGTGCCACCACCACCTTATTTATGTTTTTTAATATGAGATCTTGTGGGATGAATGATATAGGAAAGGTGGCCTGGCAGTAATGTGTTTGTGTGTCAAGTTGACAAGGGGTCAATTGTGCTGCATAGTTTCTATGTCAGCTTGACAAGAAGGAATCTCAATTAAGAAAATGCCTCCATAACATCGGGCTATAGGCAAGCCTGTAAGACATTTTCTTAATTAGTGATTGATGGGGGAGGGCCCATCCCATTATGGGTGGTGTCATCCCTGGGCTGATGGTCCTGGGTTCTGTAAGAAAGTGGGCTAGGCAAGCCAGTAAACAGCACCCTTCCATGACCTCAACTCCTGCCTCCAGGCTCCTGCTCTGTTTGAGTTTTTGCCCTGAGCTCCTTGATGACAAAATGTAAGCCAAATAAACCCTTTCCTCCTCCACTTGCTCTTTGGTCATAGTGTTTCATCACAGCAATGTTTGTCATGGTTGCTAACTTCATGACCATCTTCACCTGTCTCAGTGGGTTTTTTAACTACACAGATGCAGAAGAATTTTCTGGAAATTTTACTCAGTCAGATGTAGCAGTTGGCCATTAACAAATTGGTTACTCCCAAAAGATAAGATCCCCCTGTCATGCCTGGGCCCAGTTCCAGTTCCAGTTATTTCAGTTTGGGTGGAACAAATACAGCCTTTAAAGTCAAGTGGGTGTGTATCACATAGTGGAAAGAGGGCAGGATGCTGTAGTGTCAGCAGACCTGGATTTGAACCTTGGCTCTTCCTTGTATTAACTCATTCCCAGTGTAGCCTGTGCTAACTCCTGCTACTGCTCAGGAGTCCTAGCACTGTTACTATTCCTGTTAGCATGCTGTACTCACCACTGTGAGCTTCAGGCCTTCAAACCTAACCCAGTACTACCCTAAGCCATTCGGCCCTCTGCCCAAAATAGAGCAACCTAAAAGAACGCTAGTCTGCTAGAGAAGAGTAAAAATAAAAGGTCATAAAGATAGGTCCTTTTGCCTTTTCCTTTTCACATTACAAATCTTAAGACCATTAGCTAGCTTTGAGCTGAATTCCTGTAAAGGAATGTAAACATTCAGATGAATTCTCATTATTGTATTTTTTTCAAATTTTTAATCATTGTTCTGGAGAATTAATTAAAAGACAGTGGGGGCTGACCTTGGTATAAAGTGCACAGATGCAGTTCTGTGGAAAATGTCTTTGGCAGATGATGTTTTTCCTGTGGATGTTCTGTTTATTGCTTCCATAAATATTCTATTGTCAAAACATGACTTACTGTTTGTTAGCAGTGCTGACAGGAAGGCTCCTCTTAATGGCAGCATTCATATTACCCATATACCCTGTCACTTTTAACTTAGCAATTTTAAGAGAATTGTCTTTGGTAATTACTTAAGATATTTCTAAGTTTATTGATCCCCACCCTTGTTTAACTGAGTGAAGTTTGAATGGCAGTTCATCTGCTCAGAGATTGATGATTTTGAAAAGTCGTCAAATCTGCATCTTTAAGTCTGAGGAAAAGCTTGCTGCTTATCAGTGCTGATCTTGTCCTGTGGTTGCCAGAAAACACCGTGCACTAAGGGAAAGCTAATGGCTGCCAGGCCTGTCCTGGGGGTACACATGCACAGCATGCCACTCTAGTGGTCACCTGGAAGTTGGACAAACTTAAATCTAAGTCATATAATTCACTTTTCATTGGGAAAGTTATTTAATTTTGTTTAATTCATTTGATCACTGAACAACTGGAAGTGATACTATGCTGCCAGTTAGAGTTGTGAGAACTGGCCTTGTAGCTAGTGTCTGTCCGTTTCTAAGTTTTCTTCATCTTCGTTTCTTTTCCCTGGTTTATAGTCAGTAAAGATGTGTGCATCACCTGATCCTCAGAACAACCCATGTGGTCACTTGGCCACAGACTCCATGCTCATTTGCTGGAGAGGAACTAAGGTTCAGTCGGGCTGCATGTATTGCTTAGGCTCATCCAGATAACTGAACCCACATTTTCCTGACTTGTGCCCTAGTGTGCTTCCCACTCCATGGCTAAAATGATAATTGGGCTTTTCAGTGTCATTATACATGGGAAATTTACAAAGCCCCGTGTTTGGAAATAATATGAAAGGAAGGAGCTGATGTTTCCATTACGACGTGAATGGAACCAAGGCAGATTGCTGTAGCCTGCAAGACAGGAGGAAGTATAGGGAATAACCAAGATGTGCTATGGCAGGAAGCACATGAATATGGTGAAGGAAGAGCAGAGAGTGCATCCTGAGTATGCATCCCTAAAACCCAAACAGACTAGAAGTTAGCTGTGCTTTGTATTCATGTTTATGATCCCTCAGTTTGATTCTCATTCATAGTTTGCCTGTTCAGATTATTGATGTGGTACAGTAAAAAAAAAAAAAAAAAAACATGGTCTTTGAATCGAGCCTTAATTCAAATGTCAGCAACGTCAACCATATCTGTGCAATAGGATGCACAACTTCATTGCTTTAAGCTTGTTTTCATATCTACAGAGTAGAAGTAACAACACTGTAATTGTGAAGACTGGATAAAATAACATGAAAAAATGTCTTCTACTTAAACACTTGAGAAATATTAGTCACATTAAGCTGTCTTTCAACACTTAATGACGTGAATTTTTGCTATAGCTTTCTAACTAGATATTGGTTTTAAACTTCTGAGTTCCTTGTTTCTTAAAATTGAATAATTTTTTCTTTCTTGATAGTCTATTATGGGTCTTTATAATAATTTTATTATGAAATAGCATTAAGTAAAAAGAAATTCTCCAGCTATACCCAAATGTAAAAAGGGTCAGTTTCAATTTTCTCCTATCAAGGCTTTAATAGTGAGGGGTTCTTGTCTTAATTACAGGATTCATTCTTTCTTTCCATAACTAGAATATGTATAAGATGGAAAAGTAATTGCCCTAGTTAATAATGGATTATCATTCTTAGCAAAATGAAAGACATTTCTATAGGAGTAATCCTAGAAATATTTATTCTTCTTGCATACTAAAATGCCATTTTAGTTATGCTTTATGATTTATTATGTATATTTCTCCAGATTCCTTAACATTATTACCTATATCCTTTTAAAAAAACTTGTGAAAATAGATGCTGTGAAATTCATGCTAAAAAACCACACGGTACGTGTTAATTCTTTAATGACCAAAGTTTTCTGGATAGTTAAGTCAAACATGGTAACTTTCCATGCTCTTTTGCTTTCATTAGAGCGAGCACTTCCCTTTTCTTGGCATCAGTGATACCTACAGTCTCAGTGATTTGAGGTGCCGAACAACCTTCTACACAGCCCTCACTCGCCTTCTGATGGTAGATCTGGGTAAGTTGAGGAAGCTTCGCTAACAGGAGGAGACCCACACTGATGTGAGAGGAGGGTGGAAGAGTAAGGTAGCACCTCACTGTTGGAAGTTGCTATCTTTGACCGTTTTTGTAACTTGCTAAGCTTTGCAGCCAAAAGACAAATCTTTGTATTATCTGTCCTGATTCTTTACCTCAGAATTTCCTTTCTTTGTATCCTTTGACCCGTTAATTTTACATTTGCTAGTCTAGAGACTAGGCCTGGTGTTTCAGGTGAGACAGGAGGATAACAAGTCAGGGCCTGTTTGGACCACAGAGTAAGTTCAAGGCCAGCGATTTGGAAGACCTGTCTCATCTCAAACTTGTCTTAAAAAGTCAGGAATAGAGCTCAACAGTAGAAAACTTGTCTCACATGTTCAAGGCCCAAGTTTCAGTTCACACCACTGCAAAGTCAAGGGAAGGAAGTCCAGGAAGTCTTAGGGACACCTGTAAATGTTTGCCCTTATTTTCATATATTTCTTGCATTTTATTTTATTTTTCACTTTTTAAATTTTATTTATTGTGAGAGAGAGAGAGAGAGAGAGTGTGTGTGTGTGTGTGTGTGTGTGTGTGTGTGTGTGTGGTGTGTGTGTTGAGGTCAGAGGACAACTTCAGGAGTCGGTCTGTTCCTCTACCATGTGGGTTCCAGTGATCAAACTCAGGTAATCAGTCTTAGCTGACCACTTTACCCACTGAACCATCTTGCCAGCCCAACAAGAATGATCTTTCCCTTTGTTGTTCTGAGACAGAGGCTAATGTAGTAGTGCAGGTGGGCCTCAAGCTGAGGTTGAGAATGAGCTTAAAATTCTGAACCTCTAACTTCCCCTTCTGGAGTGGCTGGGATGATGTTACAGGCCTGTGTGTGTCCACTCCATTTTAGACAGTGCTGAGGACCAAACCCATGATGCCTGGTATATTAAACCAGCACTCTTACATTGTCTAAGTCTGCAGGGGCAGAGGTTGTTCTTTTGTTTTATTTTTGTTTGAGAAGGTCTCAGGTAGTTTTGAACTGCTCTGTAGCTGAGAATGACCTTATACTCAGGTCCTCTTCTCTCTAAATCCCAAGAGGTGAGATTATAGGTGTCTGCAACCATGTCTAGTTTATGCAGTGCTAGGAATCAAATCCAGGGCTTTGTGCATGCTGAGGAAATACTCTACTGCTATTCCATTGCTGCCCTGCACTGTTGCTGTTGTTTGTGTGTTGTAACAGTTAAGCTCAAGGGAAAAAATGGAAATTATGTGAATGTCCAATGATAGAATCAAATTATAGTGTCTTTACTTACTCATAAAATGATCTGTGGTCACAAATATTGATGATTGAAAACAATACAGTACATGAAGTTTAATGTTCTTAAATGAAAGGATAAGGTATCACTGAGATAATAGGACAGTTGTGTATAGTGAAGAAAAATATATCAAAAGGAGCTAAATAAAGTGTGGGGTTTTGGGGTTTCTTGTATGCTAAATAATTAACTGTTACCATTGTGGGAAACCATATGGAAATGCCTTAAATAATTAAAAGTTAAACCACAGCAGGCTTTGGAAATCCTCCTAGTGGGATGTACACCCAGAGGGAGTGAAGTCCGCGTGCAGGAGAAGAGACACCTGCGCTAACATGTTCATCACAGCAGCAGTCATCGTAGCCAAGAGATAGAAACAACCTAAATATCCACTGGTGCATGAATGTACAAAGAAAATACCACACACAAAATAGAATACTCTTTAGCTGTGCAAATAAGAAAATAAATCAATTTACAGCTGTATGGATGAACCTGAGGGATATTGTGTTAAGTGAAATAAGCCAGGCATAGACAGACAACTACTACGTGATCTCACTCATACACAGACTTTAAAAAAGGTGATATTGTAAAATTGGAGAATGGTAGTTACCAAGGACCGTTGAAGTTGCAGGCAGTGTGAAATGATGTCCTGGCTTTGATGTGGCCTTTCAACTAGTTATGGGAATAAATAAACTTCAAGAAATATGACATATAATTGTGGCTGCGGGTGATACTGGAGAACGAGCCTAAGGTCTCATGCATGCTAAAACTATATTCCCAGCTTATTCTTGTAAAGTTCTTTTTAAAGGGATATCAGAAGTACTCCGACCACAAAAATAACTACATGAGGTAATGTGTATGCTAATTAAAATGGTAGATTTAACTATGTATTGGTGTATTTTATAATGTTAAAAATACTGCTGGGCAGCGGTGGTGCATGCCTTTAATCCCAGCACTCGGGAGGCAGAGGCAGGCGGATCTCTGAGTTCGAGGCCAGCCTGGTCTACAGAGCGAGATCCAAGACAGGCACCAAAACTACACAGTGAAACCCTGTCTCAAAAAACAAAACAAAACAAAACAACAACAACAACAAAAACCTATTTCTGATTTTTAAGAATTTTATTTTATTTTATTTTATTTTGGTTTTTCGAGACAGGGTTTCTCTGTGTAGCTTTGCACCTTTCCTGGATCTCGTTCTGTAGACCAGGCTGGTCTCGAACTCACAAAGATCCACCTGCCTCTGCCTCCCAAGTGCTGGGATTAAAGGTGTGCGTCATCGCCCAGCCGAGAATTTTATTTTTAACTGATAAATAAAAACAGGAAGATTGTGTATATTATCAGGGTAACATGCAATGTTTTGATATTTATAGGCCTTGTACAATGTTTATTCATGTTAAACAAACCTTGTTTTCTTAGTTTCTGTTGTTTTTGTTTTATTTTGGTTTGGGTCAAATCCAAGGGTCCTGTGCATGGTAGGCAGGCAGTTTACAAATGAGCCACACTCCCAGCTCAGCATTAAATACCTCTCTCTTTGTACATTTCTAATATCCTCATGTAGCTTTTTAAATGTGCAGTACACCATTATTGCCTCTAGTAATCCTATTTATGCATTAGCACATTGGGACTTCTTAACTCCTAACTGTAACTAAAGGCCTCTTGATAGGCCTCTCCCCATCCCTTCCCCTCTCCCTCCCACCTCAGCCTCTGGTAACCACTATTATTACAACTTTCATGAAGTTCTTTCAGATAGGAGAGAGTAGTCTTTGTGTCCTTATTTATTTCACTTAACACAAGGTTCTATCTGTGTTGTCTCAAATGACAAATGTCATTCTTTTTGTGGCCAGACATATGCCATGTGTAAGTGCCATACTTTCCCCTACTATTCCCTGATGACATTTAGGTTGGTTCTGTTTCTTGACTGTTCTGAATAGTGCTACGATGATCATGGCAGTGCAGGTGTCTCTTCCTTTCCTTTGCATGTGCACCCCCCGATAGTGGAATTGGTGGCTCCTGTTAGTTCGTTTTCACATTTGTGAGTGCCCTCCATATTGACTGGTTTTCAGAATGGCTGTGCTCACTTTCCCACTTACCCACTTTGTCTTCAGCATTCCTTGTCTTTCGTCCTTTCTGATAGCCATTCTTAAGATGATGAAATGATGTGTCGTTGCAGTTTTTAGTTTGATGCCATCCCATTTGCCTCCCTTTGGTTCCTGGGCTTCTAGTGTTAGAGTCTCATTTTTTAAAAGAAATCTTTATCCAATTTAAATTTTTTTATTGAAAAGCTGTATTTAGTAAAGACACATCTACAAACAGCTGGAATCTTGGAACGAGCGCTTTTCTGTGTGGCTGTGTTCCTCTAGGCTCCTACATTCTCTCACACTGAAAGACTCCAGGACATCAGTCAGCTGTAGACAGAGATTTTGGCCAGTGACACCGTTATCCTTAGAAAATGTAATATTGATAATATTTTTTGGAATATTGATTGATACATCAACATAAATAGAATTTTTAAGATGTGATCATATAAAAGAAAAGTTTTATTTTGTACATAAAATACATTGAACCTTGAAATAGTTTAAATGGAAAAGCAACTAACCCTCTCCATGTTCATAGCCATATCACTTTCATACACTACAGCAGAATAAGTCACCAGAAAGACAAATAGCTAAAAGTTGAGAAAATGCAGCTAGAATGATTAAGGAGCTGAGTGGAATTGATTTCTAAGGAAAGATTAAAAGAACCATGTATGTATAACTTGGCTAAGTGACAACCAGAGCTGGAGGCAAAGAAAACTGTCTATAAATATTTGAAGAGTATAAACCAGGCATGCAAAACCCAATCTAGTGTGAGTTCCGAGGAACAGCTTTCTATACTGTGTACCTCTTGGCTGCTGCTGTAGAGAAAAGAGAAGAAGCCCTAGACCCTTTTGCTGTTCTGGGCAATCATTTAGCAAGCACACGGCTGAACTAAGGGGAAGAGACATGTCAGGCTTTATGGACTCTGTCTGGTCTCAAGGAACTTGCATTCATTCCTGTTTTCCATATGTCCAAGCATTAAAATGCTTAAAACGCTATACACACTTCATTCTTTTAATGACCTTGTTACATAGTGAATGAACTGGAGAGACCAATATTGAAGAGTAATATATGTAGAGTTCCTGGAAATGGGCTTTGTCTCCTATTCCTTCAGAATCTGATAATGGAAATGGGTCAAGATTTTGTTTTTCAAAGAGTCATCACATACAATTCATCCTCATCTATTTGTTGTAAACAACAGAAGAGCATACCAGAGCCAGAATATAGTATAGACTCTGTCCCATAACACTTGCATACTTGACTAGTATTTTGATAATTAATATTCATGTTGATGCCAGAAAGACTCTGCATTGCACACTTTTTTTTCTTTTGTTTTGTTTTTTAAGACAGGGTTTCTCTGTGTAACAGCCCTGGCTGTTCTGGAACTCCTTTGTAAACCAAGCTGGCCTGGAACTCACAAAGATCCCCTTGCCTCTGCCTCCTCAGTGCTAGGATTAAAGGCATGCACCACCACACCCAGCTTACATTGCACACTTTTGAAGGCAGATTAACTTTTACTTAATATTGCTTAATGTAAACTGTGAAGAGAAGAAACTTAAGTAAACATTTATAATTTGAATAAGAGAATTTCATTTTTCCCAAATTAGATTTCTTTTAAATATCTAACC